TGTATGTATGTATGTATGTATGTATGTATGTATGTATGTATGTATGTATGTATGTATGTATGTATGTATGAATGTATGTATGTATGTATGTATGTATGTATGTATGTATGTATGTATGTATGTAGTATGTATGTATGTATGTATGTATGTATGTATGTATGTATGTATGTATGTATGTATGTATGTATGTATGTATGTATGTATGTATGTATGTATGTATGTATGTATGTATGTATGTATGTATGTATGTATGTATGTATGTATGTATGAATGTATGTATGTATGTATGTATGTATGTATGTATGTATGTATGTATGAATGTATGTATGTATGTATGTATGTTTGTTTGTATACAAAACTGTGTGTACAACTTGGCATTCGTAGATTGAACGAAGAGATGTACGCTGTGCACACTGTGGTGAGTCATCATTTTGTCAAGCAATGAGTTTGTATGTTTGTTTGTTTGTATGTAAGCATGTATGTATGTTTGTTTGTATGTATGTATGTATGTACGGATGTATGTATGTATGTATGTATGTATGTTTGCACTTGTGTATGTAAGTATGTTTGTATTTATGTTTGTTTATTAAATTTATTGGTTATGGATTTATTGATGTTCCGTTATTTGATGTTTTGCAGAGCTGAACGTTACTTGCATTTTATCAATGAAATCAAGTATGTGTGTGTATGCTTGTGTGTGTGTGTATGCGTATGCGTATGTGTGTGTATGTGTGTGTATGTGTTTCATTATCGTCATCCTTTTTTGTTTGTCTGTTTATCTGCCTTTTTTTGTATTTTAAATTTTTGAAGCATACATAACAATTGCAATAAGGGAACAACTATTCGCCATTATAGGTCCTTATAATTATCATATTAACCATCGCCACTACTGAAAAATAAAATATTCGCGCTAGTATAGTTATTATTTTTAGTAGTAGTTGTAGTATTAGTATTATTATTATTATTAGTAGTAGTAGTAGTTGTACTAGTAGTAGTAGTAGTAGTAGTAGAAAGAGCAAATCCGACGCTATAATGAATCCCTTCACAACTGATGCCAGTGTCCAAAGCACACGAATGTAGTCGTCTTTGGTCGTTCCGTCATTGGGTTTCTCAAACTGTGGACGTCTGTGGTCTGTGGCCGCGGTTTCAGTTCGGATCCGACTTGCTGTGCAGTTGAAGGATTGTCCCACCACTGATCGACAGCTTTCCAACATTCTGCACCGTACTGACATCTCTCAAGGAGCTGCTGTGGAAATTTTGATTCTGACACTAATGCAAGTTCTTAGACGTACCCTGAATGAAAGGGAGATTTTTTTTATTTAAAGAAAAATTAATAATGAAAAAGAAAAACAAGCGAAGATATCTATATAGGATTTATGCTCTATATAACTCCATATATAAATCCATATAACTCTATATAACTTTACATAACTCTTTCTAACCATATACAACTCTATACAACTCTACATAACTCTACTTTAATCCTAATCCATACACTCTTATGCCTACTCACTTAATTTAAAATTTAAATGTGCATTTATAATCTTTTGTTATTTGTTAGTGTTTCCTGTTTAGCTTTTCTCAAAATGGCTGCTCTCATGTCCACCTAATTTGGATAGCCGACTTTTTCTGTGCATAAATCTTATCGTTTCCCAGGAATTAAACTTTTTGTTAAAGTTTTATAATAAAATTTTTATTTCCTCTACTTAATTTCACTAATCAAAATATAGTTCCCGGTCAACGAGCGTTAAGTTAGATTGTTGGTTTGATGTTTTAGTTTTGTTTGTAAAATTGAAATTCTCACATGTTTTGATAAAAAATAAAATATAAATTAATTAATTAATAAAATAGATATAAGGTTAATAGTTATTTAAGGTGATATTTGGTAGAATAGTATTTTATTATGGTCTGCCTAGATTTTTGATTGAGTAAGTTTAAAAGTAGAAACTAGTAGTACAATAAATTAATATTGTAGTTTATACTATATAAAGTTTATAGTAGTGAAGTGATTAGTTATTTAAATTTTAACTTTATAATTTATTTTGTTTTCCAGATAAAACAACAAAAACGTTAGTCAAGTAACAAGTTATGTACATAGGAAAAAAGATTTTATAATAATTAATTATAATTAAATATAATTATTAATTTAATTTGCTGCATTTACCTATTTGGCTTGTTGGACTTATTTCGTTCAAGATCCTGAAAATTTTTTTAAAAAAGGGAAACATCTTTGGTTTTTCATTCTTTTGGCAGCAAATAATCCCTCTAAAAGTCTAAATTAGCCTATCTGCTAACAATATGGCGGAAACTAACAAGGGAGAGAAGGATGAGAAAATGAGGGTGAAGTTGTACATGTTAAATGCCGGCCGGGTGTGGGATGACCAGGGCACTGGTTATGTTTCATCGACTTTCATTGACAAGTCGAAAAATATGATTCTATTAGTGAAAGAGGAAAATAAAAGTTAGCCTATGGTCAACCTTTTCAATTATTAATTAATCAATTAGTTCATTGATTTATTATTTAATTAAGTTACGAATTTGTTTTGATTATCTAACTTGATTAGAATTTAATTTGATTTTAAAGTTTTATTTTTCAGCATTTAGATTTATTTTTACAATTTGAATTTTCTTTCTATTTAGATACAGTACTGCTAGAATCAAAGATCCAACTGAACACAGCATACCAAAAACAACAAGTTGGTTTTTTGATATAATTTAATTTTTTGAAAGTTTCTAAATTTTTGTGTGTATTTATTTTTAAAAATTTGTGCCATTCATTAATTTTTTGTTTTGAACTACTCATGTTTATTTTATCATATAAATAATTATTCTGCTATGAACTTTACATCTTATCTTGAATGAAGGATTGATTGAATGATTGAAAGTATGAATAATAAATGGTTAAATGAGTAAATGATTGATTGATTGATTGGTTGGTTGGTTGGTTGGTTGATTCAATGAATTGTTGATTGGCTAAATGTATGAATGAATGACTTGATTAAATGAATAGATGAATGCGTGAGTGATTGAACGATTGGATCAATGAATTGTTGAATGAGTGAAGGAATGAAAAATATTCTTTTAAACTTGATTAGATTATTATTTTCGTCATAATTCCCATTTGTACGTGTGAAATCATAAAACACACACGTGTGTATGTGTGGGTTTTATGATTTCATTGATTTTTTATAATTTAATTACTGTTTAAAATAAAAAATAAAATTTGTTTGCAGGAGACGCTGATCGTGTGGTCGGAGGCTGACAACTATGATTACGCCCTAAGCTTTCAGAATAAGGCCGGCTGTGATGAGATTTGGGCCCAAATATGTCAGGTATATATTAAATAAATAAATGAATGAATAATGAGTGAATGATTGGATGAATGAATGGATGAATAAAATTAATAAATGAGTATTGCTTTTTAGTTTGGTTTGTTTGCTTATCCGTCATCATCATTGTATTTTATTTATCGTTTCATCATCATCTGATGTTGAAATGTTCATTGTTAATTGTAGTGGACATGTTTTTACCTGGCAGCTTTGCTATTTTATTTATTTATTTGCTCATAGATTGATTTATTTATTTAATAAATAGTTTATTTATTTACATTCAATTGCTTTTTAAATCATTTTATATGATCTATTAAGGGTTGTTGGCTCTTGTTTTATTATTATTTATTATCATCATTATAATCTGCTCTTTATTGACATTTCACCATTGTCGTCGTCGTCATCTTCGCATCTAATTAGGTGCAGGGTAAAGATCCATCTGTCGACATCACACAAGACATTCTACTCGATCAGGATGACCCTGACCTCGACGACGACCGGTTCGACGTGTCCGGGGGTGCTGGACACCTCGGCCATCACGACGATGTCGTCGATAGGGTATCTATGTCCTTGCCATCCTGTGAATTGGGCAGACTGGATGATATTGTCGAGTTGTTTCAGGTACTACGTGCTAATGGCTTGGTGTATGTGGATGTATTTTTACATGTTTGTGTTTTTTGAAGTTAGTGTGATGATGATATAGGTGTTGTTTTCTGATTGCTAAACCAGTTTTTAATATTTTGTATTTTTTTATTCTTCCCCCAAGTCGTGTCTAACGTCCCCAATAAAACGAGAACGCCTGGCCACGTTGTTGGAATCGGAGAATTACATCGGTAAGTTGGTGGAGTTGTTTCGCATGAGCGAGGACCTCGAGGACATCGACGCTCTCCACAAACTTTTTAACGCATTCAAAAGTCTCTTCTTCCTCAATAAAACCCCGGTATTTGAAGCCATGTTTGCTGACGACGTAATCTTTGACGTGATTGGTGCGCTGGAGTACGACCCCGCCCACCAACAGCAGCAGCAGCAGCAGCCTCAACCAATCAAACACAGGGAATATCTGAAGACACAGACACGACTGAAACAGGCTGTACCGATTGAAAATCCCGAATTAATACAAAAAATTCACCAGACGTATCGGGTGCAGTACATACAAGACGCCATCTTGCCTGCCCCATCCGTCTTTGAGGATAACGTCCTCTCCACTCTGACGTCCTTTATATATTTCAACAAAATGGAGATTGTTACAGTGCTACAGGTTTGTTGATTGTTTAATTGATCCATCATTCATTTGTTCATTCATTCATTTGTTCATTCATTTATTCATTCATTTATTCATTCATTCAATTTTGACACTCTAAATGATGGAAAATTGTTTTGCATATCTTTCAAATTTTTCTTCTATTGTCACAACAATAATCATAACCACCACCATAATCTTCATCACTACTATTGCCATCATCATCTTCGTTATCATTATCCCCATCGTCATATATAACCTACACCACCATCATCTTCATCATCATTACATACACCACCACCATCATCTTCATCATTACCTACACCACCATTATCTTCTTAATCATCATTATATACACCACCACCATCTTTTTCATCATCATCACAATCAACTACAATTACAGGAGGATGAAAAGTACTTGCAGACGTTATTCAAGCAGCTAGTAGATGATGACACTGACGACGACGCGAGGAAAGATATGGTCATTTTCCTCAAAGAATTCTGTTCATTCTCGCAGAACCTTGCCCAACAAAATCGAGAGGGTTTCTTTAAGGTATGAGTGAGTGAATGAATGAATAAATGAGTGAGTGAATGAATGAATAAATGAGTGAGTGAGTGAATTATATTTGATTGTATTAATCACGCCATTAAATTTAATTTAATTCTACAGGCACTCTCCAAGCTTGGAATACTGAATACAGTAGAAACAATTCTGGTTAATAAATTATATTGTTTTTTTTTCAACTTTTACTAATTACATTCTATAAGATTTTATTTAATTGCTCTAATTAAACATATTCACCATTATATTACATTTAGAATGTACGTACATCCATACATTCGAACACAGGTGCATATATACATGCATATACACACATACAAATACGTACATACATGCATGCATACATCCAAATGCATACATCCATTATCATCAATGTACAGACATACATACATAATCGAGACATTTTATTTCATCAAATCAACCATTGAAATCAGAAAAGGTGAAATCAATGAAAGGAAATGATCTGGAAATCAAAAATAAATCTCTATTTTTTGTAATGATCACCAGTGATAGAGTTTATAATAATGGTAAATAAGCAGATTTAAACAAATGAAAAATTCAAATTAATGAGAAACAAGCAGATTTTAAGACAAAAACAAAACTGGCTTATTTAAAAAATTTTTAGCGTGACGTTTGTAATTGTTTAAACATTAGTTTAATAAACTCATTTCAACATCATGAAACATGTTGCATACATACATTATGGACTTATCACATTATGGGATTATCACAAAATGACAGACAAGGATTATGCTTATACAACCGTATACACATGACATACTTATGATGAAAAACAATGAATAATATATAATGCAAATTGCAGTTTATCATATTAGATATATATTATATACACACCTAAACATTTAAGTTGTAGATATTTCAAAGAGCAATTCTAATACTTCAAATTGATTTGAAATATAGAGCATAATGGTGCTTTGACTAACCCGGAGAATTAAATCTCATATGAAGCAGCATGTGTAAATACCATTTCCAAAAAATAAACATGTCACACCCGTGTGTACAAAAATACATACGTGCTACTCATTCCCACATACTCATGCGAACCCAAACACTCCTCCATACACACGCACGTAAGTAACCGCATACACTTAGACACGCATACCTCGTGTCACATGCATACACTTGGCACGTACATCTATACATACACACACCACACATACAAATACACACATACAAATACATGCACACGTGCGTAGTACATTCAAACATACAATTTCTCATACCTATATACGCACTCATATATTCATGTATATTATATCGCATATATACAGGGGCTAGACGACCCGACCATACGTTCATACGCCATAGATATCTTTTCATACATCGTCGAATTCAGTCCATCACTAGTTAGGGAGTTCTGTATGCAAGAGTCACTCAAACATGAAGATGTTAGTATGTGGGGGCTATAATTTTGGGGGCATGTTTTTCAGGGTTGAGAGGGGGGTGGCTGTTTTCAATGGGGGGTCGATATTTTTTTCAGAAAAAGTGTTGGGCCATGTTCTTATTATTTCTTTTTAATTCACTTTTAATCTAGCCATATTTTTGTTATTTCATTTTAATTCACTTTTAATTCACTTTTTATTTTGTCTTATGCCTCATGTTGCAACTTTTACTTCTGATTTTAACAGGATGAATTACTGATCAATATTGTGATAGAGCAGATGTTTGTTGACCACGACCCAGGTTTGTTGGTTGGTTGGTTGGATGGTTGAATGAATGAGTAAATGAATGAGTAAATGAATGAGTAAATGAATGAGTAAATGAATGATTGATTGATTGTTGAATAAATAAATGAATGATTCAATCATTGATTCAATCATTCATTGGTTGATTGCTGAATAAACAAATGATTGATTTAATCATTGATTGATTCGTTGTCTGGTTGATTAGGTAAATAATTCTCGTTCGTTTTGTAATTGTTAGTGTGACTTAAATTTTCTTTTAAACAAAAATGTAACCAAAAATCACAAAAAAAAACTTGAAACAGAGATGGGCGGCGCCCTACAGCTGATGGGTATAATCAGGCTCCTCATCGATCCTGAAAATATGACCACAGCCATTGTTAGTTTTAAAAATTTTCTCTTCTATTTATTTTTTGGGTTTCTTCTTCGTGAAATAAAAAATTGTAAATGTATACATACATGCATGCAAACATACATACACACTTACATGCATATATACACACACACATACATTCGTACATACATATACATACATACATCATTGCTATTTTCTACATCATCATTGTTATTAATATTACTTACCTTTCGAAAGTATTTTTTGTAATTATTAATAAATTTTTTTTAAATCGTTCGACAGAAGAACGAGAAAACAGAATTTTTAGCATTTTTCTACCCCCACTGTATGCACGTTCTCACCGCCCCACTCTACGCCAATACAGCCGAAGGCAAACCAAGTAGAGGTGAGATAGTGATGATGATGAGGAGGAGGAGGAGGAAGAAATGATGATAACGATGAGGAATTCACTAATCAATCATTCATTCACTAATTGATCAGTCATTCACTAATCGATGGATCAATTGTCACAAGCAGACGACTACCAGACGGCCCAGTTGTTGGCCCACATCCTCGAGCTGCTGACATTCTGCGTTGAACACCATGCCTATCACATCAAGAACCACATAAACAACGTGAATATACTGAAGCGGGTGCTAACTCTACTCAAGTCTAAACACGCATTTCTACAGCTATGTATGTTTTGTCTTGTCTTTGCTGCTTTGTTACTCTATGTTTGGCTGTATTCTGTTTATTATTACTGTTGATGTATGCCATGCTTATTTTCGTCAGCCAATCATCATTGATCAGACAATTTTAAACTAACCAATAAACAGCTTCCTTACGTTTACTTCGTCGTATGATTGGCCTAAAAGACGAGTTCTACGTTAAGCACATAGTTAAATATGATTTGCTGAAGACAGTGGTGGAGGCATTCAAGAGAAATGGGCATAGATACAATCTGTTCGATTCGGCCGTCATTGAACTTTTTGAGTTCATTAGAACGGTTTGTTTGCTCTATGTTTGTTCTTTGTTTGTTATGTTTTCTTTGATAACTTTGTATTGTTTGATTATTATTTGTTCTTTTAAATGTGTAGCCTTTGTTGGGTGCCTGTTTGATTTTCTTTGTTCACGTGTCTCTTGTTTTCTGCATGTTTTTTTGTTGGCTTTATTCGTTGTGTGTCGTTTCGTTTGTCTGTCCTGATCTCTGCTTGTTCTTCTGCGTGCCTGCGTGTCTTCTTTGCCTCGATATTTCTTTCACATTGTACATTTCGTAGAGGTTAAAACTAAATGCCAAACAACAGGAAGACATAAAACCCGTCATTGCGTATTTCGTGCCGTGCCACTTTGCATCCGTCGAGGATGTTAAGTACGTTCAGACCTTCCAATTGCTGAAGCAGAAGTACGACCAGTCTCTAGAGCGAGTGAACAGCGCCCCTAGCACAACGGCGGCCAGTACTACCGCTGCCGCCAACGTCAGCGTCAGTGGCTCTAATGTCAATTTGTTAGTATCTTGTCGGTCTTTCTAGGCCGTTGTCTGTAATTTGTTTCTGGGTATGTGTGCGTGCGCGTGTGTATGTCTGTTTGCGCCTCTGTCCGTGTGTGTGTGCGTGCGTGCGTGTGTGTGTGTGTGTGTGTTTGTGGAAGAGAGAGGGAGGGAGAGAGAGAGAGAGAGAGAGTGAGAGTGTGTGTGTGTGTACGTGCGTGTGGTGTTCCTGTGTTTGGTTAATGTTTTTTTTATTTGTGAATACATTTTTCGTTTAATATTTATTTAAAAAAAGTGTCCTAAGCTCGACTACTATTATTCATTTGTTTAAATTTTCTCCTTCATCATTCAGCCTCTCCCCTCTCAACAGCAGCATGACGTCATCGACCGCGCACACCTCGAAAGCCGAGCAATCACAGATGGACGACGATGAAGAGACGTGGTTCGATCAGGATGACGACGACTACGACGATGATCATAACTCGAAAATTTCCCTCAACAATGGGGATTTGCTCGATAGCGATGTTTTCACGCCTTCATCGAAGTTTCTGTCTAGTAAGAAAGCTGGTTAGTTAGTTAGCTAGCTAGTTAGTTAGTCAGTTAGTTAGTTGGCTGGCTGGTCAGTTTGTTGGTAGTTTGATTGAATTGTTGGTTGATTAGTTGATTATCGAATCAAGTGATAGATTGAATGTTCACAGTATTTATGTTCACATCTGCAAGATAGTAATAACACTAACTACATTCTCATACACCACTTCGTACCACCAGACACCACCAGTAGTGAAAGTGAAAGTGCAAGTGGCTTCATTCGCTCAACTTCGCAGCAGCACTCCCTTCCATCCATCAATCACTGCAACACTAAAATTAGTTTCAACCTCAACCTCAAAGAGCACTCGGCTTTCAGCTCTGGTGGCACTGCATCCAGCCCCACAACCACCACTACAACTTCTAGCAGTAATAGCTTACTATTAGAGGACCATAGTAAAAAGACAAACTCTGTCGGGGATGCTTTGAAAAAGATCATTGAAGAAAGCGGTAATGGTAGTAGTAGTAAAAAGGAGAGAAATGAGGATGAGTATGATTGCAATGTCGATGGTGGTGATGGGGATAACGATGATAACATCAAGAAGAGATCGTTGAAGATTTCGGTTAAGGGCGGCGAGGTCACGACGTCGGCTGCAACAACATCTGTCTCGGGGGATAATGATAGTGCCTCTACTCTTAAAACAACATCATCTACATCCTCCTCGCCATCGTCAGTGTCGTCGTCGTCAAAGTCGTTGCCTCACACGGATTCACCACTACCAAAGCCCAGAGGCTTTGTAGCTGTCAAGGCTAAAACTGTTAGCACATGAATATCCATCTTTTAAATTCAATGAATTGATTAATTTATTTAAAAAATATTAATTAATTAATAAATTTTATTATTGATGTTTTTTTGTGATGTAGTGATGTTCAGATGAATGAATGCTGTGTAGTAGTCGTTGCTTTATTGTGCTAGTATAGTGTGATAAAAAAATAAGTAGCAAGATCGTTGGTCTCAGTCATTCTCCTTCCACACACAGCACGCATCTGCATGTATTAATATGATACGCTACTCTCTCTTGCATAGGGCGCTATATAAATGACGCGTTGTTGCTATTATTGTTATTATTGTTAATTATAATTAAACTTAATTCTCACCCACAGCCCGGTCTTTTGGGACTAATTGAGTACAACGATGAAGATGACGATGAAGAAGAGGAGGAGGAAGAAGATGATGCCGGCAGGCACAAAGCCGGTGGTAATGGTAATAGTTTTACTAACTCAACGGCGACTACTTCTACTTCATCTACTATTACTTCTACTACTACTACTGCTACCACTACTACTAAGGATGGTTCTGATTGCAATGAGAGGATCAGCAGTAGCAGTTGTACTAGTAATACTAAGGAGGTCAATGAAGAAGGCGATAGAGCTAAATTCGAATTTACTACTACTACTACTACTACTACTACTTTTACTGCTATCACTACTACTACTACTAATAATAATAATAATAATAATAATAATAATAATAACAATAATAATAAAACGGTTGAGCTCATAGATTCCGCCAAACTTAATGATGATAATACAAGTAAGAACAACAGCAACAACAACAACAACAGTCACGAAAACTACGACACTGGTGATAATACTAATAACCGCAACAACGTCAATAATAATAATAACAATAATAATAACAATAATAATAATCATAATAATAAAATTATGGCTGATGATATTGACCGTGACCTTGATACATCCTTACCCGCTGCCAAACGACCTCGATTGAGTACATGAAAACAGTTATATATATATATATATATATATATATATATATATATATATATAGTTTCATTGTTATTGCGTATATATATATATATATATGTATATAGGTACATATGTCTACACATGTATTGTTATATATATTGATATGTTAACAGATGTGTGTATGTGTATATGTATATATATATAATAATAGTACTAATAATAAATTTTTTATTGTCATACTGTCGTTGTCTCTTCGTGTGTTGTCGTCCTGGAATGGAAATAATGTTTGTGTGTGTTTGTTGAGTGTGTGTGTGTGTGTTTGTGTGTGTGTGTGTTTGTTTGTTGAGTCCATAGAGCCTGAAGTTAAGTTAATCATTCATTATATATCATCCACATTACCTTGTACCATACAATCAATGGATATCCCTACTATTTTCAACAAAATAATTTGATACTTTAATTTTTTTTTTGTTTCTATAATTATCTGTCATCGTCGCCATCTTCATCGTCGTAGTCGTCATCATCATCATTATTTATCTATCTATTTATTTATTACATTTATTTAATTCCTTTTCTCAAAATTTTCCATAGGTATCAACTACAACAACAACAGCAACAATAGCTAACACTGTGTTAGCTAGTACAAACACACAACACACACACACTCTCTTTCTATCTCTCTCTCTCTCTCTCTCTCTCTTTCTCTCTCTCTCTCTCTCTCTCTCTTTCTTTCTCTCTTTCTCCCTCTCTCACACACACACACGCACAAATGGATGCAATCACGTATCACCATCATCATCATTACCAACTTCTTAGATGTCGTCATATTCATCGTCATTGCCAAATTGTAGGATAATTATTATCATTATTATCACTTATATATTTATATTATTTTTATTTATTGTTATTATTATTTCCGATTTATTTAGTGTAAATATTGGTAGCTCACAACATTGGAGATGAGATGGTGATTGAGTGAATGAATGAATGAGTGAGTGAGTGAGTGAGTGAATGAGTGGGTGAATGAATGGTAATGCGATGATATGATGATGACTGTGTTGCCGTGTTACGTTATGGTATTGACGAGCATTTTATTCATAATTTTTTTCATCGTCATATTACATCACAAGTTAGAATTTGTTGAGGCAGAACTAGAAAGAGACGGTCATTTCAATCTGTTGAAATTCATTTGGTTGATTGGTTTGTTCATTGGCTGGTTGGTTGGTTGATTGATTGGTTGGTTCATTGATTGGTTGCTTAAATAAGTAACGATCACTATTGGTTAGTTAATCAATCTTCAATCAATCTATAGTCAATTATAGAATTGTTATCTGAATAAAATAACTGATTGTATATGTGTATTTATATAACGTGTGTGTGTGTGTGTGTGTGTGTGTGTGTGTGTGTGTGTGTGTGTGTGTATATATATATATAATTTTATATATAAAGATATAAAGTGTATGTTTGTGTGTGTGTGTGTGAGAGGGAGGGGGGGAGACCAATTTGTGTAGTAAATACATAAATGTATATATTAAACGTTTATTACTAATATATACATATATCATTTCAATAGTTTATATATATATAAAATATGTGTGCATATATATATATATATATATATATATATATATATATATATATATATACATTATATATATACATACCCATTAATATCTTCAGAAATTTGAAGGTTGAACAGCTTTTAATGAGTCGTGTGAATTTTTGTATAAATTTGTATGTGCGCGTTTATGTATGTGGGTATGTATATATATATATATATATATTGTGTGTGTGTGTAGGTGTATATGTAGGTGTTTATGTAGGTGTGTTTTTGGTTTTTGATTGATATGGTTGATATAATTGGTCGTTGAAAAGAAAAATCAGATACAAAAATGCTTATATTTAGTGAAATACTTTATGTATATCTGTATTTGTGTAAGAATTGCGTGTATGTATGGATGTACGTATGGGTGGATGTATGTTTTATGTATGTATGCATGTATGTGTGTGTGTATGTTTGTGATAAGGTGAGTAGTTGAGTGATTGTTGTTTAGGAGAGTCTCGTTGGTGTACTTGACGGGATTTTTAACGTTTTGTTTTGCCAAAAGATTGGAAAAAATTGAAACTGGCCTCCGAAATAGAATAAAAATTTCATTTTTTTTTCATTTTATCTTCATAATAAAGATCAGTTATTCACTTTTTATTTCTTGTTTTGAACGATAAAACGTATATATTCTATCTAGCGTACAACTATCTGGGGTTTGTTTGCAGTTGAACCGCCTATCAATGTCACAACGTTTATATATATGTGTATGCATATATATATATATATATTTATACGAACCGTGTCGTTTGCTTATTATTTGTATAGTTGTGAAATACGAATTTATATTTAAAATAGCGCTTTTTTATCTGGACAAAGTATTAAGTTACTTATTTTGAGAAATGTCTCATCAGTGTTTTATCTTTGTTTAGCTCCGGCGTAGGACTCCTTTTATATTGTCGTAGTTAACTGTCTCCATTTTAAATTTAGTTGGTAGGCTAAGTTCATCGTTTTTCAGTTAGTTCGAAGGCTTCTTCTAATCAGTTTTTAAAATGTCGAACGATTATGATGGCGGTCAAATGAATGGAAAGGGCGTAAATGAAAATTCGTAAGTTTCGGTGTTTTTTAATTCTTTAATAATGTCTCCTTTTTTATGAGCGATAATACAGGATAATTTCAAATGGCCTTAGTTCTACTTTGAAATGTTCAGAAAATATGAGATATTTTTAAATAGAATTAAAATTATTATGATTTTTAGATTTAGGTTGTCGTAAAAAAAATTTATTTAAAATTTTTTTTAATAAAATAAAATCAAATATTTTTAATAATAATATTTTAATTTATTTAATCACAGAAAAATATTTGTAGGAGGGCTGGCCCGAGAAACGACAGATGGTAGTTATTTCAAAAATTTCAAATTCCATTAATTTCAAACTTTAAATTGAAAATCTGAAAAATTGATTCACCATTGTCAGAGGACCTTAGAAACTACTTTTCAAGCTTTGGTACAGTCTTAGAATGTAATCTAAAGAGAGATTTCACAACGGGTGTATCTAGAGGGTTTGCTTTTGTTTCATTTGAAGATCCAAATGCTGTTGACTTGGTAACTTATTTAAATTATAATATATTCAAAATTTTTAGCATAAATGAAATTTATTTAAACTTGAAAATTTTTATTAGGTTATTCAATTAAATTAATAATTAATTTCTTTTTTTGGCATTTAGGTTGTTGCCAAATCTACACACATTCTTGGTGGTAAAGCCATAGATCCCAAAAGATTAAAATCCAAAAATGCTCTGGAAGGTTGCACAAAGGTACTTTATTGTACAGTTTATTTCTTGTTCATTAATTGATTTAAAATTTTATTACATTTATTAATTTTTTTGGTCATTTATATTTTTTTTAGGTTTTTGTCGGTGGTGTTGATCCTAATTTACCCGAATCAGACATCAGGGAATATTTTCAACAATTTGGCAAGGTTTGTCGGCTTGCTTATGTACATATCATCAATTTACCATTAAACTTTGTTTTAAATTTATTCTTAACTTTTTATATTTTAATCTTTCAAGTTAGTTTATCTTTCGAACTTTAAATGGTGCTCAACTTGTATTACACATTTATTACACTTTACAACTAATTACACATACACGTTACACACTTATTACACATTACACGAGTCGAAAAATTATTGGAAAAAGTAATTGTGATGGAAATTATAATGATGTATATTATGATATAATAATAATAATATAGCAATAAAATAATAATGAAATTATAATTTAACTTTCCAAGATTGAGTCAATGGATCTGCCATATGACAAAGAGAAGAACCAACGAAGAGGCTTTTGCTTCATAAACTTCGAGAGTTCAGACGCGGTTGACATGCTCTGCACGAAAAGTAAACACCCGCTGGGTGAGAGAGAGGTACGTCAGACTAATTTAAATATCTTTGTTTTACCTTTATTTTTTATTTTTAATGAATTAATTTTAGTTTTATTATAAATAATAAAAATGCTAAATAACATTTTTTTTTCATCCCTCCATTTTTTTTGGGTCAGATTAGATTGATATTTACATTTTGAATATCAGTAAAAAAAAGTATGATCAGCTAGTATCTATCAATCATTAGTATCTAATGTCGGCCATGTGTGATATATAGTATCGTATATGTTTCTATCTATCAATCCAAGTATATCTCTATCATCGTCAGTCAGTCAGTTAGTGAATATGATAATGATAAAATATGATGATGATGGTGATGATTCTTCTAAAATCGTCATCACTACTTGTCCAACTCAATTGGATTTGATATTTTGCAGCCACTACTACTACTACTACTGCAGCTGCTGATGATGATGACAAGTCATCGGACCCCGCACTGATGACGTCATGATGATGACGATGACAGCAATGATGGTGTCCAGGTCTAGTTAGGAATGGTATATATATAGTGGGATAATGAATATAAAAAAAATGCTTGGCTAATACTATGAAGATTGGAAAAATAAACTTGCTCATATAATTGATGATAATTTTATATATTATAGAGAATATATTTATATATATTTATATATATATTTGCTTTAATTATCTCAAATTCAGTTTGCATTTAAAAAAAATGCTTGTTGTACCCAATATTGCAAAGTCAAATGATTCTCCTCTCGTCTAGTCGCCATTAGTTGTGTGCATGGTACATACATCAGCTAGAGATGTATGCGGTGTACATCTAATGTACATGTTTTGTACATTACTTCTTTAATCCATTGTATTTATTTATTTTATTCATTCATATTTTGTTTACTGTTTTACTTGTATTCCACAGATATATATATATATATATATATATATATATATATATATATATATATATATTTATATATATGTATGTATGTATGTTTATTTATGACATCAAGGTTTTAAGGTTTTATGGATATAGATAGTTAGAGAGTGCTTGCTTATTTCTGTTCATTTGATGTTGAGAATTTTCTAACTGACGTGTTAACATGCGTTGTTGTAAGATGTTCATTATTTTGTTGTCTGGGTAGCTGATGGATGTATACATACATACATGTGCCCACAGAATTTTACTTAACTTTCCTCCTTATACCTAATTTTTTTTGGAAATTCATTCTTTTTATCTTTTATTTCTTTGAGGATGGTTAACCGTTTATTTGTTAATCTGCTTTCTGTATCAGTCATTTTCAAAGTGGCGGTAACGCTATACTAAATTATAGTTTAAACAACTCTGGATACATGTGCGCGTGTTAGTGTGTGCGTGCGTGTCTGTGTTTGTGCGTGTGTTTATGTTACGTTAACATATTCACATATGCGCCATATAGCATACAATATGGCTGAAATTTGTACCAACATTTGTGCACAGGCAACCGTTGTTATGTATATTTATAATTCAACACCTTGCTACTGGCATCTACCCCTGATCTGTTATATTAAATTGCTCACCAGCGTCATTATTCTTTTGCAAATTCTAATGTTTTTTTTTTTTATCATTCATCCCAATAATTCAATTCGCAATCTCTCCACGATGATAATCATTCTCCACGGGCCATAATTTCAATTCTGTGATTTATTCTTTCTTAAATTGGGATCACTCAGGTGGACGTGAAGCGGGCTACACCACAGGACCCGAAGATGGGTGCATTCAAGGCGGGCATGAGAGGAGGCAGCCGAGCGGGAGGAGGTGCTGGCTTCGGTCGGTTTTCTATCTATTTAACTATTTTTTAACATCTAATTGTTCAGTAATGAGGAATAGCATCGTCACTACTCAGCCTTGTATGATGAACATCATCCAACCAACAACAACCGCCACAGCACGATGGCATTACAAGCAATGCCCTTACCAAAAAAACAGGAATGCCGTTCGGTATGCCCGACTATGGCGCGAGAGGTGGTAGAGGAGGTGGAGGAGGCAGCAGTTTCCAGGCTCAGCCAGCTGCTGTTGGTGGCTACCCACCCTACTACAACTACGCCGGCTACTATGGACAGCAAGCAGTCGGTGTTGCTACTGCTGCCGGGGGCTATGCAGCCGCTGCTGGGGGGTACGGATTTGGAGGGGGTTATTCAACTGATTCTTATTCTGGTTATCAGGCTGCTAACGGTAGGTCATATGGTTAGTGCTTCTTAATTTGTGTATTTTCTTTTATATCTCCCTTGCAAATGGCTTTGAAATGTTTTGTGTCACAAAGCTCTTATGAGATTTGAAAAACTGAAGCAAAGCAAAATGGCTTGCATATGTATAATTTCGTTTGTTAATGTATTATATTAGAATGCTATAATGTCATACATTTCAACAAAATCGTTCACCTGTCTAGTCTAACAATCATATCCAGAAAACTCACACACACGTACAGGAATGCCAAAAGCCGGAATGTCTAATGGCAAAACAGCTCCAACACGTGGTGGATTCAACGATAGATATCAACCATATTAGTGATGATATAGATGATATATATATTTATATATATACAAGGATGTGATGATATATAGGATGATATATCTATATACAAGTCATTGATTGCTCTTCCATTCGTATGTTGGATGTATGATATAGTGTCATTGGTTGTTTGAGTGTGTTGATGACTTGATGATGACCTCTTGATGAATAATTAGGAAAGTGTGCATGCCTGTTCATATATATATATATGTGTGTGTGTGTGTGTGTGTGTGTGTGTGTGTGTACGACTTTTTAGATTTAGCAGGTGTCAACTCCCTCAATTATTTCTGTCATGTTTAGTTTTCATCACTATTTCTTAACATATGTGTGTCTGTGTTATTTGTATTAGTGTGTAGGTGAGCCAATTTTTAGCTAGCTGATCGGTTTGGCTTTTATTGTGTTGATTCATATTGGTTGGTCATTCAACCAATCGTTTTGACTAATGTTACAATGTCTGAGGAGAAGTTAAGATGATTAATGTCTCGGCTTAATGATGTTGTTGTCATTATAACTACTCGTATATATTGATGCAGCACACATATACACATGTACGGACACATGTATACACACATATACACACACGTACATACACACATAGAGACAGTTACAGAAATTTATTTACAGTTGAAGTTTTTAATTCTAATCTATCGTTCGTTTATTTGAAAGATGCGTACGTACATCTCCAAATCATTTTGAGTTCAGTTCAGAAGGGGCCAAATCTAATAATAATAATGAGTAAAAAATTCATTTAATTTTGTTATCATACATTTGGATTTTACCTTTTATATGTGTATATATGTCATATATATATATATATATATATGTGTGTGTGTATATAGATATATATTTGTGTATATATATTTATATATATATGTATGCATTTTCAAATGTTTTGCATTTTGTTGATGCAAGATGATGTATATGAGCGTTCGTACGTACGTACATACATACATGTGTATTGATTGATCTGTATATAAAATAAGCTGAAAATAAGTCATTGTAGTGTTTTAAATTTAATTAATGTGAGTGTGTGTGTGTGTTTGGAACATCTCGTGTATATGGGTGTGTTTATAATCATGTTTATATGTATTTTGGAAAAAGGATTGCTTGCATGGGTAGAAACATACCTATGTATGTATGTAGGTGTGTATTTATGTATGTTTGTATGAAACCAGACAACATTTAATTACTAACAATAATGTCGGTTACAAATATAGATACGAGCAACATTCAAATTCCAAAAATTAAATATAAGTTTATTCAAATTAAGCTTGTGTGTGTGTGTCTCTGTATGTGTAGCAATGACAATGCAGATGTAAATAAAAGATACACAGTTCAAATGTTAAAACAAGTTAAAAGTTTGTATTGAATTGTACAAAAATTCTCACAAAATGTCTATTAAAACCGGGAAGATACAATAACTAAAAACAATTACTCTGAATTAATAAACGCTAGATAGCAGTTAAAAAGTGTAGCAGATTTATAAACAATTGTAGATCTAATTTGTGTTACCTATGTAGGAATGAGTGGAATTGTATGTAACTCAAAGTTCATTAAAAAGTTTCTCAGTTACAATTTCGATGTATGAATATCAATCTGCATTTCGCCAACATACACTATCCTAACATCTTCCTTGACATTGGCCATCTTGAAAATTCTAAATTCAACTTTCTGGGGATTAGAGATGTGCAGTATGCAAAGAATTCTCAATTCATCCCCGGCTTTGCATTCCTTCAGGTATGAATTGTTGACTCTTGGTATCTTCATGCTATCTTTGTGCAGTCCAAATGTCCTGTTGAAGGTTTTATTTTTGCTGATTGCTTGTTTCAATGTGTCGCCACAGATTCTAATGTAGACACTGTTTGAGAGATGATAGTTCCAGTCTTGGTCTGTCTCACTGGCTGTCAGATCGACTTTGAAGACCTCCCTAAAGCTGTCTGATTCGAGGAAGAGTGATTTTAACGCTTCCTTGCTCATGTTTCTGTTGATTTCTATGAAATTTTTGATGTCTTTGAAGGTGGGGTGAGGTTTTTTGTGATATTTTGAGAATCTTTCACAAAACATCTCTGGAATGTGGTGAGATTTCTTTGTCGTGGAGTCGATTGTTATCAACTTGGCAAGCACCTGGGATACGATCTGCTGGGTCTTCTTCACTCTGATTGTCTGACTGGTGACAATGGTAGATCTGTTAAAATTTTATTATACAAATGTTATACAAAACGTTATTAAACCAATTTTTGATTGAACAGTTTTAGAAAATAACAATGCCTACATTAAAGTAATTAAAAATGTGTAATAACCTGTAAAATGAAACGAGATCAATATGAGATTCTAACTCCTCCCAACATTCATATGGTCTGATAACTGTGTAGAAGTGTGGTTTGATGATCAGGATTGTCTGAACTGCATACACATCGTATGTTCCTGTGTTTGCCAGGTATTTCTGCATAAAACTTGGAGTTTTGGTAGATATGAAGGTTGCCAATGTGAAATAGTTTGCCAGCAAGTATACCCCACCAGGTCCTGAAATAAAAAAAAGAAAAACCATTGAATAAATTTACAATTTTTACTAAAAATTATTGGATTTGATAAAGTGTTTCTCTCTAATGGAATTATGTGAAATTAATTAGTTTGCTAATCATGAATCAATAAAAAGATTAAATTACCACAAACCACACTGATAAACATTAACACTATTAACTCAAAAAACATTTTATTTTTTTAAATTAAAATAATTCATCAATGAATCTCAATGATGAACATGACATGGAACAACAAAACAAACACAAAGCCAATAATAAAGGATAAGCCTTCTTGTGTTTGTTTCATGTCATGTAATGTTTTTTTAAATTAAATGGAAACAATTAAAATAAATTTAATAATTATCAGTTACAAACCAGGATCAAACATATTTTGGAAGCCAATGAGAGGAAGAGGAATTTTAATGGTGGCACCATCATCAAAAACTTTTACCCTCTTCCTAACTTGCTCTGGCAAACTTTCAAATTCCATATCCGCCAGTTAAATGCTTAACTAATTAATTAATTAATTGATTAATAAAATACAATATTAATTGATTGATAAAATAACAACTTTTTCTTCCGAAAATTCTACAGATTGATTAATTTTTTAAGAAAATTAAATTGAAATAGAGAGCGTTAAAATTAACAGAAATAAAATTCACTTTTAAAATATAATTAAAAATAAAAAACCGTTTAAAAGTAAATTTAAATTACATGTAAAAAAATTTGACTTGCCAACTTCCTAATACTTAGAGAATCACTCTTTCGATCCGAACTAGAATAAAACTCGAAATGAGACGAAAGGATGGGGAATGACATTTACTTATATTCTATAGTTTACAGCCAGCACATTAAAAAATTTTTTAAAAAATTTCTCTGTAGAGTTAACACTAAACAGTCATGAACTTTTAAATCAAAAAATAACATAAACAGATGTATAAACGTTTATATATACTTGTATATATATATTTTTTTTATATATATATATAATATCAAAGTCCAAATAATAGTTAAAAAATTAATTCAAATTAAGTTTGATATTCAATGTTGACTGTAATGATGATGAAAAAAGCAGATACCCCAATGCATACATTCACACACACGTACACACACACACACAGACAGACACACACAAACGCATATAACCACGTAGCTTAGATTGCAAATTAAAAAAACAAAACCATCCTTATCTAGTACTCATTCGATCTCCAGCACATTATGTAAAAATGAATTAAATACAGCAACAAATATTATTAAAAAATAAATTAAATTAGACGAAAAATAGTAATGTAAATAAATACAATGAGTTATAACAAAAGTACAAATAACAAAAATATAATCCTATTTGCAAATAAGCATGATATCATTAAGGGTGGAACATCATTCATGAAAAAGTCTCCATGTAATGAAATAAAGAAAGAAAGTTTTAAATGTGTAAAAATAGTCAAAAGGTTTTATGACTTAGTGTTTAAGAACTACCATAGAAAGTTGAATTTAAAAAACAAACAAAACAAAAAAAGAAAAAAAACAATTCAATCAAAAGTTAGCCCATGAATAGAGTTGACAAAAGCATCAAACTGCTTAGCACTGGCTTCAAACTCAGCTAACTTGGAAGACAAATCTTCAAAAACATCTTTTGATTCTGTTGGGGACTGAACAAACAAGTTTAGTGATGGGGCAGTGGTGCACTCTCTGTAGAAATCACTCAATTCCAAATCAGCTTTTGATAAGTTAAATGATTTTTCTGTCACTTCAATTTTAACTGTTGGCGAATTTGTTGAGTGTAGATTTGCGATTGTGTTGTTGCTGTTTGCTTGTGATTCACTGATTTCATCATCAAGATGGTCGAAAGCCATGTGAATTGTTTCTTTGTTATGAACATCTTTAATAACAATCTCCCCATTGTCTTTCCTTTCAACGCTGATGATGTCATCAGAGCTGTTCCTTGAGCTGACAACATCTTCAACTTCACTGATGCTGATGATTTCAGCATCCATTAGACATTCATCACTGCTAATCTTCCTGATCTCCTTCGAATAATAATCCTCGTTAATGTCAGTTAACAATTTCCCAACTGTCAAGCGCTGAATTATCGTTTTCACATCTTTTCTGTACAGCACATCGATGATGATGGTGCCCTCTGGTGTCGGGACTGAACCAACAGATGACTTAAAAAATAAATTCTCATTTCTCTCGTCAAATTTTTTAGAATAAATATTATACTTCAGTGACAAGTTATCGAGGAAGCATAAATTTCTGCACAGTTTATAAGTGGGGAGAACTCGACTGACTGAAAACAAGCACTTAATTAATGTGCTCATCCTGTTATACACCCCATACATGACTCTAACATTCTCGTCACATGAGTCTGACATGTTGATCCGCCATATTTCCAAAGGGCAGTTGTTGCTGGTGTTTTCCTCGTCGTCATCTGTGTCTGTGTCAATGTTTTTTTTCAAACTTTCCGGCAATGACAAATTAATCAATGAAAATTCGAGACAAAGAAATTTGGCAGAAGTGCACGTCAATCCGTCGGGCCCGAACTTGGAGTAAACTTTTTTGATTTCGTCGACAACTTTGCTGTCGTCTCTAACACTCAGGTTAAACCAATCAGACCCGGAGGATATGAGTTTTGATTGGGCCACTAACTTTCGGCCTGATCTCGACTGAAGAATAACTTGCAACGATTTGAAAACTAAATACTTTTTGAATTTAATTAACTCTTTTTTATCTCGTTCCGATAAGTTTATCAAAGACATCTTTTTTAATTTCAGTCATTAAATAAATTAAAACAAAGAAAAAAAGTAAAAATGCAAAGACGAGATTACATAAAAGTTTACTTTTAAATGTTATAGGGATGGTTGACGATAAATTTGAAAAGAAATTAAACATGGATTTGAATAACGTTAAAAATGTGACATCTGAATATTTATAACTGCAAATAACAACTATAATATGATTATTCAATTTAAAAATACTTAAATTTTTAAAAATTAATTCGTCATTTCTGAAATATTAACACAGAAACCGAGAGATAGTGAGGCAGTTAGATGAGAGCTATATAAAGAGAAATCGTGTAACGCCAGATAAAGTTTTATCGCAGAAATGCCAGAAAAAATTAGGCTGTTAATAAATTTGCTCCAAATTTTATTCCAACTGCTAAATTGTGAAAGTGAGCATAGAAAGTTTACTAATTTTTAATCAATCATTTTCTTCAACTAATTCATAAAAATACATAACTGCACTAAACTGATAACTGATTAGGATGGACCCCTCCTAGGATAACTGACCAGTCACGTGGTATGAATGATGACGTCATAACGTTCGTGGAGAAAGAAAAAATTGTCTTGCAATGTCCAGCTGAGGGCAATCCCGGGCTAGAGTAAGTTTCAGTTTCAACTACTACTACTACTACTACTACTACTACTACTACTACTACTACTACTACTACTACTACTACTACTACTACTACTACTACTACTACTAATTACGATAATAATAATGATAATTTTATCAAAAGTATAGTAACAATATTAATAAAAGGTTCACTTTTTACCAGGTTTGTATGGTTTAAAGACAACGTCATTCTGACGTCACCATCATCGTCATCATTATCATCATTTTCTTCACCATTATCGTTTTCACCATCGCCTGTATCGTCACCGTCTGCATCATCATCGTCACCAATAATTAACATGACTGGCCAAGACTTAATAACCAACCCTTACAGCAATGACACCAATCATCTTCATCATTATCTTCATCATCATCTTCACTATCAAAATATCCGATTATTCGATAATAACGGAACATTACTGATCAAGTCGGCTTCCACCGACGATGAAGGTACGTACCGATGTCTCGCCAAGAACCGATTCGGTATCGCTATCGGGAGATCGATTCGACTGAAAGCAGCCTGTTGGTATTGACAATAAGGATTATTATTATCATTTTAACTAGAGCCGGTTTTAGGCATAGTCAAACTAGGCAGTCGACAGGGCCTCTGACTTTTATGGGCCTCGCTATGCAGATTAAAACAACTTTTTTTTTTAGAAATCCTACTTCGATGAATTAATTTTAAATGTTTTATACATTTATAACTGTTTTATAATTTTGATACACCTAACTGTTTCATTTTTAATGAATCGCAGTATTACGCAGCGAGAATTTACCATAAAACAAACGTATTCAGGTTGAAATTTTTTTTAATGTGTAAAACTTTCTTGTACACTTAAAAAATGTTTCTCGGGGCCACCAATTTTTCTTTGCCTAGGGCCTCCTATTACTGCCTAAGGCCGGCCATGTTTTAATTGTAATAATAATTATGGTAATGGCAATAAGTATAATTAATTATTATTTTTATTAGATGGAAGAGAGAGAGAGAGAGAGAGAAAGAGAGAGAGAGAGAGAGAGAGAGAGAGAGAAATCAAGAAAAATAATGAAATAATAGTAATTTTAGTAGCAATAGTAACAACATTAGTTAGCGCAGAACCTAATTGGTAGACATTCGTTCGTCTAACTACTCACTTATTCATTCCCTTATTCATTCTTCATTCATTCATTCTTTCTTACTCTCTCTCTCTCTCTCTCTCTCTCTCTCTCTCTCTCTCTCTCTCGTTCCACTTACCTTGATGTTAACACGTGATCAGCATTAATTGTTTTTGTGAAAAAAAACACCTTCGCCTTGCATACATCAATAATAATAACAATAATAATAATAATGAATAATAACACAATAATAATAATAATAATAATAATAAATCATAAAAATAATAATTGCTCGCAGTCCTAGATTCCATCGTTCCGTCACCGGAAACAGTAATCCATCGTCTGCCGAGCAACGGAAATCACGTGGTCATGCGTTGCCAGCCAATCAGAAGCTGGCCCCTGGCAACCAATCAGTGGACCGTATCAAAATCACGTGATGGGACTCCTGATGATGATCAGTCTGACGACGGTGATGATGATGATGACGGAGATGATGGTGATGATAATGATTTCGATAGGATGGCTTTGTCGCTTGATAATCGAATTCTTACTGATTACGAAGGTTAAGGGAATGCAATTAATTGATGGATGGATGAACGAGTGAATGAATGAATGAATGAATGAACGAATGAATAAATGAATGCATGAATGAATTGATAGATTGATTGATTAATGAATGAATTAATTAATAATGAAGTGAATGACCAAATAAACTAATTAGGAAATGAATGATTGTATGAACGAACAAATAGACGGAAAATGAATGAATGATTGAGGGTTCGATTGACTAATTGACTGACTGATTGATTCACTGATTGATTGATAAAATGACTGAATGAATAAACGAACAAATGAATAAATGAATGAATGAACGAATGGATAGATAGATAGACGGATAAATAATAATCACACTCGAACCATTCAAAACTTCAATTGCAGGACGACTCTATATCACACACGTCAACTATCATGATATATATCTGCCTACTACAACAGCCACTACAACTACTACTACTCCTACTACAACTACTTCCACTACTATTACTACTACTTTTACTACTACTACTTCCACTACTACTACTACTACTCCCACTACTACTACTACTACTTTTACTACTACTACTACTACTACTACTAACACTTCTACTACTACTACTACTTCTTATGCTAAAGCTAATTATGATCCTCTCACTCTGAACATAAGCAGCTTGGTTAGTTTCACAGCTTTCCATAGCAACAACTCAGACGAAGGAATCTTGAATGGTAGTAATGGAAGTAGTAATTTTACTACATATGACAATGTCACTGGTATAAGCTATATCGGTGTTGAAAGTATTTTGGCGGGAAAAAGCAAACAACAACAACAACAACAACAAGAAGATCATCATCATCATCAACAACAACAACATTACATCAAGTATACGTGCACTTCATTCAACCATGCCCTCCGCAGACGTACTCAAGGACGCGATCAGCTGATCGATTTGGGGTCAAAAGGTCAGATAATTTCATGAATAATTACGTGAATATTTCTTTTGTCAAGTGACTACGATGAAAAAAAAATCCAATGCTAGACGCTGATTCGCTGAATCAGTTATTCGGGCCACGCCTACTCTGGTCATCGCCGACCAATCCGATCGCTCTGTTGGGAGAAGAGCTGAAGATGAAATGTATTTTCTCTGGAAAGTGAGACTAATTTGCATAAATTTCTGCCCACTCCCGGCATAATTTGTGAACATTTGCGAATATTCATGCAGAATTAATTGTGTTAATTATGCCGTATTTCAACTGCTGTAAAACAATTTTAGTAATTAATATAATAGAAGTAGTATTAGTATTAGTAATAGTAGCCCCGAAAGTTATAGTTGTAGTAGTGGTAGTAGTAACAAATAATAATAATAATAATAATAATAATTATTATTATTATTATCATAATTATTATTATAATTATTATTATTATTATTATTATGGCAGCCCACCCCCACAGGTAAGATGGTACAAGAAGATGGCCGAAGACTTCCGTAACCTGATCCAGATAAATCTGGGTCACGAGATGATGATACAACGCGTGACCTTGACCGATGAAGGTAGCTACGTGTGTCAAGGTCGGAATGGTTTGTTGACAGAGAGATCTGAGAATGAGGTGGAATTTGTAGTGGCAGTGGAAGGTTAGATGATGCTTGTGCCGAGATGGTAATTGTGTCTTGAATGCTGCTGTTGGTGCTGCTGTTGGTGCTGCTGCTGCTGCTACTACTACTACTACTACTACTACTACTACTCCTACTACTACTACTACTACTCTTACCAAAACTGACAGCTCGACCCTACTGGACAAGCGGCCACCCGCCACAAGATCACTTGGTCAGTGACGACACACCGGAAGTTGTGGTCACGTGTCCGGCGACTGGAATTCCCAAACCGCGCGTTCATTGGCTGATAAATGGAAAACTAATAACTGACTCAGACACAAATAGTAGTGGTAGTAGTAGTAGTAATTGCAGCAATAGTAGTATAAGTAGCAGCAACAGCAGCTGCAGCAGTAGCAGCAGCAGTAGTAGTAGTAGTAGCAATAGTGTTAGTAGTGGTATCATGAAAAAGATACAAATAAATGATACAAGATTAATGATACGAAATGTATCTACCCATGATAGCTCGGTTATTCAATGTAATGCAGTCAACAGGCACGGGTTCGTCAGGACAAACATCGCGCTGAACGTCATCGGCGAGTATTGATAATGATGTTGTTATTGCTGGTGATGATGATGACGATGATGGTGATGATAATGATGACGATGATGTTGCTTAAGTGATGATGATAGTGATGATGAAATGTTTATTCAAATAATCGCTACCGTTATTTTACTTAATGACAGCCGAGTCTCCAAGCCTCATATACACCCCCAGTGACGTCATAAAGGTTGCTCTCGGCCAGCCAATCAGAATTCGCTGCTCGGCTTCGGGGTCACCTCGACCTAATTTAAAATTTCTGAGGGCGTCGACCTCGAAAAACAAAATGGCGGTCGTCGAGGGCAGGAGAAATAAATCGTGGATTAGTAGTAACGACGGTGATGATGGTAATGATGCTGGGACTGATCACAGTGGTGGTGATGATGATGATAGTCATCATGGTGGTGGTAGGGAAGTGGACGTTTCAGTTACTGAGGCCCATATGGTTATCAAGGTTAGTCTGCTGATTCATAAGTCTGTAAATATTAATGGTATATTCTTAATGGTAATCACAATAACAATACGAACAAACAAACGAACAAAC